CAAACTGCAGAACTGGGCAGCCAAAACATTAATGCCTCTGATGATTTCAGCCTATAGATGTTTTGATTTGTTTTTTGTTGGTTTGGGTTTTTTTCACTTCCTGCTTACAGAATCTAACTTTGACTGTAACAGCAGCTCCTCAGGCAGTTTGACGCAAACATCCTACTGCATCTGCTTTGCTGCTGTCTACACAATACTTAGACACACGTAATTGTTTCTCCTTATGCCCTGAGAAAAAAAGCTGGACCCCATTAAAAAAAAAACAAACCACAAATAAAACAACAAAAAATCCCCCCAACTCTATTGTAGTCTATTGTCTATATCCTTGTCCTGTTAAAATCTGAGGAAAATGGTCATTAGTGTCCTATAGAGAGGCCTGTTATCACAAAATCTCAGCATAGTTAGGGTTGGAAAGGACCTTAAGATCATCTAGTTCCACCCCCCTTGCCACGGGCAGGGACTTTCAGTGTTTTTCTGCAAGAGCAGTTCATCCTTCTGCAGACAGAGACATCTCCTGATTGCATGTTCCTTGTGAGGAAGAGCCTGTATGTCCACATTCAGCTAATAGAGCACTAGGGACTGTAGTTTCAGGGACACCAGCAGTCACTTAGCTTTCTTCTCAATGGAGCTGGTACCAGAAGAAAGCACTGCCAAGCTCACCGCAGTCTCTAGTGGATATGTCACTTCAGTACTGTCTGCAGTAAATTAGATCGCAGGAAACCACCACACCCAGCAGATTTATGGTTCAATACCACCAACACCCCCAACTCGTGACTATAAACCCCAACTGCTCAAGCCAGCTTGTCAGAAATCTGTACTACTAGCTTCAGCCCCCGACCTATCCATTGCTTGCAGAACAGAAAAGGGCAAGGAAGTTAACAGGGGTTTCTCTGGCACCCTTCATGAAGGGTTATTTGCACTTTGAATAAATCCCTAAGTGCAGGGCAGTACACTAGCAAAAATATATCCAGATATTTATTGGAATTGTAACACGACCTAAAATCTTGAGACAATCTCAGTGCTACAGGTGTCATTCAAATGAACAGGGAACAAAGAGACAGTTCTTGGATCAGGAACAGCTGATAATGAGCCAAAAAGCCTACCATGATTTTCTCTAAAGAAAAGAAAAATGTTAAATCTCTCGCTGATATTATGACATTGACTATTATTTAAAATAATTTTTTGTTATAATTTACTTTATGTGGAAAAAAAAATAGATCTAATTTTACAAAAAAAAAAGAGAGGGAGAGAGAGGGAGAGAGAGGGAGAGAGAGGGAGAGAGAGGGAGAGAGAGGGAGAGAGAGGGAGAGAGAGAGAGAGGGGGAGAGAGGGGGAGAGAGAGAGAGGGAGAGAGGGGAGAGAGAGGAGAGAGGGGAGAGAGGGGGAGAGAGGGGGAGAGAGGGGGAGAGAGGCAGTATCCAAATATATTTTCTAAGCATCCAGACAAAGCGTGTTCACAAGGAGTGCCACGGACCTGAAATACTGCAGGAATACCACATGGTCCCTAGAAACTTGCAGTCACTTTGTTCTAGCCAACTCTCTGCATAGTCTAAGGCATGCCTGCATCCTGGGGATCAGAGCCAGGCTACTTAAGGAGGTAGGAATTATACTCTACAAGTTGCTCTGAATATACAGAGAAGTTCTTAGACAGTGGGAGAAGGAATTAAAACTAGGTGCATTAACACTACTCTCCCAGTACAGCAGAAGTCCTCTGCATGAGAAGGGATGCTTCCTAATTTTAGTGCTTCCAGTGGTAGCAGCAGGACAGCAAGTGCCTCCTGAACAGGTGGAGTGTGGGTGTTTGGGGAAGGTGGTAGTATGCAAGAAGGTTTTATGAGAGAATGTACTTTTTCCCCCGTCACGGAGAGGATTCAAAATAGGCTGGATCATTTGGCTTGCAAAGCTAAATAGCCTCCTTCCCTGCCAAGATATTGCCAAACCATTCCCCAAAATTTAAACTTGACTTTTTAAGGGAAAAAGGAAGGGGAGCAAAACATCTAGCTTTTAAGATGATAAAGGAAATTCACACAACATGCATGGGCTGTCTGTAAAGCAGCGCATTGATGTTTGAGTGTGAACAGAGAAATACTGTCCTGTATCATGTCGCAAACCCAAGCTGATTAAAAAGTTAGTGTCAGCTTCTTTAAAGCCATACAAAGCAGAATGCCCTCTGTTGAAGCATGGTCATTTCACACAGCCCAAGGGCTCCTTAACATTTTGTTCTGATAATGTGGGGTGACTATGTATCCTACGTGACATAATTTAACCCAGCCCTCCCTAAAAGGCTGTGGGCTGTGACAGTTGAGATGTAAGAGAGACCCAACACAGGGAATGGAGTGAGGCTTCGTACTGGGTGACTTCAAGGAGATGACTAACAGCAGCTGGACTCTCTGGTTCAAACAAGCAGAGCTTTGCCTAAAAGGATGGGAGAAAACGTCTCCAGAGAAAATGGTCTTTTTCAGCTTACAATGGTTAAAGCTACAATGAAGTGATGACACAGCCAAAAAATACTTTGTCTTCTAGCTATCACCTCAGACTTACGTGTATTCCAGTCCACACAGAATAGAAAGCCTCTTGTGCAAAGCAGGGAAAGGCAAGGCATTTAACATGCTGAAAACACTTCAACTTTACAGTGCACATCTACACCTGGCGGGAAATGATCAGTTTCCTCTTCTGACAGATAAAACAATGTTTAGTGGCAGTGGATAGGAAGACAAGGAACCAAAAGAGAGACCCTTAATGTCTGTCGCAGACAGATCACATCACCTTCCCTCAGTTCTGTCATACAAATAGACACATTTCCCTAAATCTAAATAGAGGTCATTTTCTACAAAACTTTTCCTCTTTGATCTGTAAAGCCCTTCATGCCTTTAGCAGGAAGTAAGTTTCTTCAGGTGGCACTACCCTCTTTTTATCAGTAACTATAATTCCAGCTATCCTGGGTCTAGAGAGAGGTTAACACACGTCACTTTGTACTGACTAAAGGATGCCATGGGAACTGCAGCACAGGCACACTACAACATCTCCAGAGTATCTTCAAACCCCCTGAAATGCTCATCTTGTAAATCTTTGAGAAAGGCACAAATGCAGAGCTGGTGACACACTCATACACTCCAGTATCATGGAGAGGAGAGGGCAGGAGAGAAAAGGGCTGCTGTATACACACTACTTTTACATCAGCCACTGCAGCTGGGAGCTTGCCAACACAGCACAGAGTGTGCTCTGCACCAGATGAAACTTGTGTTGCAAACAGGTAAACTTCTGTTGAGAAAGGAAAAGTGAAATTGTGCTTGGTGGTTAAGGTCAAAGCAGAAGTCTATGTCTCTTCCCAGTAATTAGAAATAAAATCCTCTAATTTGTGGATTTTGTTTACATCCTTTGCTTGCTGCTGCACTTCTTGCAGTTTGACATGACATTCTTTCCTTGTCTAATCTCAAGAAACTGATTTAGAATGACAAAAGTCATGAGCATAGTTTTTATTCTGGTAGTTGCTTTCCCTTTGGGTCCACTCTTATTTTCTGAAGAACATGGAAGTATTTTGTTTTTAGCTTTTAGAAATATCAAGAACCTAACTGTTACGCTATAACTTAAATATCTTGAAAATATTCACAGAAGAAGCAAACAAAATAATCCAGCCACAGTTATAGAGGAATTCAATGGGGGGGTTGAAGTTTAAGATGTTTTGTAACATCCAAACATCACCCTTATTAATGTGAACAAATTGTCCTTTTCCACACTGTCCAGGAATTTCAAAAAATTGGGGATCTTTTCCTAGCCTCTACCACAGAGATACTGTATTTATTGCCTTTCTCTTTAAAGAAAGAATTGAATGTAAATTCCAAAAGAAAGCCCAACGCTTTGTCACGGTACTTCTCTCCTTCTGTAACTTTTCATGTATCTATTAGGTTTTTTTCCTTAAGGGCATTTTCCGTAAGAAGCTGAAATGAAGTTGAAAAATTTCCAAGGCAATTTGGGGCAAGAATCTCACTTTTGGAAAGATGAGACAGACTACAGCATTACTGGTCTTCCGAAGATGCACAGATGAGATGGGTTCTATCATTGTTTTAGACTAGCGACTGAGCAAGTGTTCCTTTTCTCTCTAGGAGGTAACCTCAGGGTAAAGTGTTACGGAGGAACCAGCACCGACCAGTGCTGTTTGCAAAGAGCCGCAAGGAGAGAAAACAAGGGCAGGCACACCACCCGTGAAAGGGAGCGGGACCTCCGCCTGCCCCGCCCCTCCGGAGGGCTTCACCCATCTCCTTCCAACACCAAGCGCTTACCGAGGGCCGCAAAGCACCGCGCCCCCCGCCGCTCTCCTACCTAAGGACAGAATTCCCTGCAAAAGGAAGGATTCTTTTCGCAGCTTCAGAAATAGGACTGGGAGGGATGCGGTGCCGGGTTAACACCGGTGTGGAGCAGCAGCGGCAGCTCGGGAGTGGCGCAAAGGCCGGGGCTCTCCGGACACCGAGCGAGCCCCGCGGGCTCTCCCCGCCGAGGTGGGATGGACGGGGCGAGGCGGGACTCACCGACCTGACGAGGGGCCCGAGCTGCAGGAGGTGCAGCAGCAGCACCAGCGGGCGGTCGCGGCTCACGTCGCGGTGGATGAAGACCAGGCTGAGCTGCACCAGCGCGCAGGGCAGGAGGGCGAAGAGCAGCGTCAGCCACTGCCACATGCGGTCCCCCGCCGCGCGGTACGCCCCGCTCAGGCATAGCGCCGCCACCGTCTCGGCCACAAAGAGGACGAGCGACACGAGGACGGAGCCCGGGAATTTCATCGCCGGCCGCCCCGCACCGTCACAGCCCACGGGGGGCGATTCCGCCGCGCTGCAGCCGCCCCACGCGCCGGCCCGGCCCGGCCCGGCCCGCCCAGCCGCCGCTCGCTGAGGCACAGCGCCCACTAGGGGGCGTCCACCGTACGGGAGCCGCTGGCGCAGCCGCCGCCCCGCGGGCTCCAGCCAGGAGGGGCCGAGGCAAGGCCCGGGGGTCGCCGGGGACCTCCCGTTGGCGGCCCCGGTGTGGGTGCGGTCGGCTGCGCTGGAGCTTGGTCCTGGCAGCGCCTGGGCTGCGCTGTAAATGGGAAGAGCACTCCCTCCTCGCGTCTCCTTTAGCCATAAGATACATAACTGACCTGGGTGGGGTGGGTGGAAAGATGGAACTGCTCTTTGCAGGGGGGCTTTGGCATGCTGAGGAGGAAGTACCCCTGCCTCCTTTCAGGCTAAAGGGCTACACCTGGAAGAAAATTACCCTATGAAACATTAAAATCTGATTAAAAAAACAAATGCAGGAAAGGTGCTGTGAGTCACAGTGACCCTCCCATGATGAACACCTCCTAGTTCAGAGACCTCCTCACCCTGCCAGTGAGCCTGCTGACAGAGCTGCCCTTTTAGGGCTTTCTCAGGTCGGTCTTATCCCTGCTTGACAGGCCTTTGCCTTCAAAGGCTCCCAGGATCATAAAACCCAAAGTGCTGCTGCAACACATGCTGCAGCCAGCGGCATCTGCACGCTGTCCGTGGGTCTTTGTCCCTGCACCAGCAGGAGCTAGACCACCCCGTGCTTTCCTCCCTTGCCACTAGTGCTCTGGAGGCATTCTGGGTATGTGTAAGGTCACCCATACCAGCAGGCAACATCACCGATGACAAGCAATAAAAGACAGCCTGAGGGCAAGGTAAACCTTTGAAGTCTTTCCGAAACAACCTGAATCCTGGTATCTGGCAAGAAACAAGGCTCCTGAGGTTCTAAATCAGGTCAGCAGAAGGTGCCTCCATCCTGCACCAGGGGAGTCTCCTATCACTGCCACTTCTCTGTTTGGTGCAGGTACTTGGTTCATGATCGGCTGGATCTGATGCCTGCCTTGACAGATACTGTTTCAGCCGTCTATTGGAGGTGGTTAGCTACAGACCAGAGACCTACCAGCAGCACAACAGGAAGACAAAATAATGGAGTTTGAGATGCTATTGGTCTATTAATGGGATAACACTAATGGCTATTTCTGCATGCCTGCTACTATTTTATAATGCAACTTGGGTTGTCACTAGATTTATACAGAAAATACCAGTGACACTTTATTTGGGCCATTTCTTGCATTGCTGCACTGGCAAATCCAGAGTCCCCCCTGTTCACCTTTAAGTGAGCTCAGCTCATGATGACAATAAACCTTGTTATAGGCAGGTCTTGGTGAACTTAATGCTGTAGTGCCCTTCAGTGGGAAGAGAGGGGTCTTTCTGCAAAGAGAAGAGGCTATGTATACTGAGCTTTAAGGAGGCTGAAAATAAACACCTAAATGAAAAACTTTAATCTACAGGCCAAAAGCAACCTATCTTCTCTCACAAGGGGAGAGATGCCACAGGGTAGTTTTACCTAATTGTGATGTGCAGCCTGGATGTTTTATCTAAGATGAATGATTTTTACCTTTGATGAAACAGTACCACTGGAAAGCTTTTGGAGCCCTAAGCCCTGACTGCTCAGGAAGGAAAAGTTGCCAGCACTATGGAAAGTAAGTATAGAAATAAGCGATCCAGTGCAAAATCATACTGTTCAAGGCTGGGCTTTTATTTAAGGCAAAATATAATCACAGCTTTAAGATTCATAATATGGATATACACAGAGGTTGTTCTGCCACTATGAAGCTTAGTATTATCACAGCTGTTAAAAAGCTATAAAATCTAGTTTCTATAATAATTTGCAATACAAAACTAATACAATAAACACATTCAAAAGATCACAGTGTTTAAAACATCAGAAGAGCAGGGGTCCTGGTTTTAAACAATAAGGTGCATTTCTAAGAATCAAATCAATCTTGATTCTAAGGGTCTGTATCATATTATGGCTGTGAATGGCTATTACACTGAGAAACCAATCTAAGGTGCAGCATATACTCAAGAAATGAACACCACATGTTGGAATATATTGAATAATCAAGTGTCACCAGCACAAGCTAAACGTGAAATAATGCTATTTAAGTTCCCTGTACTTTTTGTTGGTATTGGCATTCATGTATATTGGGGAAAATGGGTATAAAACTGCTATCAAATAGGGCTCCGCATATGCAAACACCTGTGCTTTCCTCTTACTAGATGAACAACCCTTACTAATTCCATGGGGCTCATGTAAAGTTTGTAGGCTTAGGGGCCAGACCGATGCAGTTTTGCCCCTATTTCACACACGTGGAAGGACCTATCCTTGCATGCCTGAAATCAAGTGAAGATTCACCACTGGCATCAGCAGGTGGCATATCAGGCCCTTAAAATGGGCACAGGAGGCCAAATCAGCGTTGAAAGCAGACTACTGTTACAGGAAAACTTTTGTGTGTGGTCATGGTAATGAAGACAGAAGCAGAGTTAAATTTGTGGTCATACAGCTTTCTCTTCTATAGGAAGTAAAAATAAATTCTTGAATAGGATTGGTTTTCATTATGGGATATAATTGATGTCAGGACTTCTATGTAAAATTTTCTGGGGAGTATGCATGTGCTCATGCAGTGCTGTTGCTGAATATCACTGTATTATAATTTTTATTCAAATACCATTATACCACTAGGCAGAATGGGGTTTAATTAGTTTTCTGTCATTCTAGTTGGTGTTGCTGTACTTGAACTAAATGCCTTCACTATCTCTTTGAGTCATGCAATGAATGAAGTCAAGGGAATTTCTTGTAAGTATTAAAAATAAATATGGATTTATGTATTTTCAAGCAGATTGCTATTTATAAATTGACTTTTTTTTCTGAGCATGATGTAAATATTTTAAATATACATGGTACAGGACCAGCAGTGACATCAGTGACAGGACTAATTAGTCAGGAGGTTTAGTAACTCACAGGCCTAGGTCAAGAAATTGGTGCATGTTGGCTTCTTGGGATCTATTTTTTTAAACTGCCTAAACATCAGTAGAGTACATCACTTTCATTAAATGACTGGAATAGGCAGTAGGTTCAGCTACAGGCAACTCCTTCACAGGCAGACTCTTTTCAGCATATGATGACTTTGCAATAATGGCAATGAAGTGCTGTTCAAGGCAGCAAAAAAACCTGTGCAGTGCACCCTGTAGCACTGTCTGTGCAATGAAGTGAACTGTGCTCTTCTCTTGGAAAATTCCTATTCACATCCCTAAATTGCTGTATTGGATTTTTGGGCCCTGAGCATTTTTTGCTTATGGCTTTGAAGTATGTTCCCTCAGTAGTGCAATTTTTGGTCATTCTCTTATTTCTTTTCCATTTAGCTTTCTGCTTACTTCTTAGTCCAGGACATTTATATAAACTGAAAACCTTTCATAGAGCAGTCTACGCTGTGCTCTTCGCCAGCAATTGCTCATCAGTGTAGCTCTTCATGGGAAGATTACTCTTTAAAACCTACAGGGAAATTCTTATTCTGATATACTAATCTTCATACAGATTAGAATATGCACTCCTGCCAGTGCATATTCAAGGTATGTAGATTACCGCACCTAAGATTTACCTATCAGACCTCAGAGATGCACTCTGTCCATGGATCTTACAGGTTTGAGTAACAAGGATATATTCTCAAAATGCATGCATATGCTAAAATAGGTCATTGTTTGCATAAACCATGCAATATGTTGGCAGATGCTATAACTCTATATGCAGATAACAATGTAAAAATAAAAATTTGACTGCTTATGAAAGTATCCATTTGCACATATTGCACCTGTATGTTTCTCAATATGTCAGATACCTACATTTCATTGTTTTTTTTCCACAGTATTTTAAAAATACTAATCAGTATTCTTATCATACTTTCTACATGTCCATACAATTATTATTAGAACATTAAAGTGGCATTACTTAATTTCACAGAGCGGCAAAAAGGGTAACCACTTTACTTGCATTCATTTGTGCATATTTCCCAGAACTATTTAAATGTGTATTTTGGGATGTGTAGCCATTCCACTTGGTTTTGACGGTTTTCATACAACTGAGATACTAGAGAACTGAGCATGTTCCTTGGAAAGTCTATGTTGTATTTAATGATGTAAAACATCAGTAGCAGTTGCTAGATAATATAATGTTTTTTTTTCCTTGGCAGGTGGGAAATGGCAGAGCCAGTGAGAAGAGACCACCTGGGAGTGTAAAATAATGTAATGCAAGTAAGTGGAACATCCCTCAAGCAAAATTAATCAATCTTATTATCAACAACAAAAGACCTGGGCTGCTGCTTCAGCCTTCTGAAGTTATTCATAGGTTGAGAAATAAAGGCAGGGAAACTGAAGGAAACAATAATGCAAACAAAGCAGAAATTGAAAGCAGTGGCACAAAATGAATATGTTATTATACTGAGAAGTTGTAAGTAGCAGGAAAAAAATAAGATATATTTGTTAGAACTGTACTGTTGATGAAACTTATTGCGTCTGGCTCCATAAATCCTGAAATCACTAAATCTGGACATTACAGATCTAGTTTCCCTCAAAACTATTCCATGACAGTAATCTATGGATGACCTACCAAAAATCATGAATAGTATGTAGCTCCACAAACTGATTTGTAGTCTACAGCTTTACTCACAAACGGCACCACACAAACACAGGTACACCACAAATAAGCACCAATACCCACAGAATGCATACTCTTTGCATTAACAGCACAGAAATACTAGTATATCACTTAAATTCCTATTGCCTGCACTTAATAAACTAAACACAGTCAAGAAACTGATGTGCAAATGTGATGTAGGAACTTGTGTTTTACACTTCGAAAGAGGCTTCTCGGGTTTCCGGTAATGCAGCCTTTTGTCACAGCACCATGGCAGAATCTGTACAGAAATACACTTTTTCAGTCTGTCAGGGCCCAAATCGGGAGCAGGAGGAGAGAGCATCCTGCTGACAATGTCTAATAAAGGTTGATCGATTTCTCAAAGCAGTAAAGGGGGAACACAAAGGACCTGATGTTTTTTCATTGCACTGAAAAGTGCTGATGGCTCTGCTCAGGTTGCTTTCCTGTCAATGTGTTAAAGGTTGCAATAGCATGTATGTTACAGCATACATACTATACAAAGGAAGAAAAGCAGGTAGACAATTAAGAGGAGGAAGAGGGTGGAAAAAAACTTGCTCATTTAATGACTGGCATTTTCAGAAGAGCCCTGGGGTATGTTTACGCTGTGTTCAGCAGCTGTGGCTACAGCATGTCTAGTAGCCACCTTAACCCAGCTAGGTCAGGTGAGAAAAGCCATGAAGCTCAAACTGCCATGTCTGATGAAACAGATGAATAATTATGTTCCAAGGTTTTTACAAGTTCTATCCCATGAGACTTGATATTTATGTTACTGTAACTGATCTTAATTATCAGTAAACAAAGTTTGCATGCTGCCCTTGATGAAGTCAGTGCTGAAGTTGCATGACTTACAGATGTGTTTAGGACCTAAATTTTGAAAACTGGGTGGTTGCATGGGTTTTCTCATTGCTGAATGGCCTGACTCTTACCCAGGTAACTATTTTCTTTCTCAAATGAAGCCAAGCACATGGCTTCATATACGAAGCATGGTTGCAGGTACAGAAGATTTGTTTGGTATGTGCTGTTGGAACACAACACAGAGCAGATTATAGTCTCATCTGAATGTAAATCAGAAAGAATATTTTCTACAAAGAGACACAGAGGGGAAACCACTTAGAAAACTGACACTGAGTTTTTAATGTATATTTCCTACCATTTATGAAGAATTACATTAAAAGATAAACGGAAACACAGCCATTGGAAGTTAAGCATAATAAAATTGAGTGATTTCATGTACTGTTATTATGGTAAATTTTAACATATATGTGGTATATGTTACAGTATCAGCATTAATGACTTGGTCAAGATCTAAGTTACTGTGCTGATTTATTGTGCTCTAGGTTTACTGAGGTTTTGGCAAAGATTTTCTTCAAGCATCTCCTGAGAAATAACTAACTGGAAACAAGTAAATGTCATGGCCCACTGATAATTAAAAAGTAGGCACTGAGTACAAAATCAAAAGGTCATGATTACTGTTCTGATACATGTAGATTCTGTTAAGGCTTAAGTCTGCGGTTGGCTGTGTTTTTTGAGGGTGTACTTATCAAAATGCTAGATGTTTTTGTTTTATGTTTGTATCCCTAAATAAAAGGATTGGCAATATATGCAGATTGCAACAGCTTGAGTTTAGATCATGGCAAAAGCTAGTTCTCTGTTTTACAATAAGATAGGATACGGTTACAGTAGCTATTGAAAAGCTATAGCACAAATATTGTTTGTTACATGTTTTAACTGAGTGACATTACCCCCCAGTAAAAATTGAGACTGAAAAGCTATTTAGCACAGGGGAAAAGTGGATAGGCCCAGTTTTACCTTCCTTAAACGTTTTTTTTAAAACAATTCCAGTTATGAAATATATGAGACACATGCATTACAGGAAGCAACTAGATAAAAATCCTAATGGATTTACAATCTCCACTACTGACAATTGACTTTGATCTAACAGGAGCACTTCAGCATGGCTGGGCAGAGCATGTGCGCATCTCCATTGACTTTTTGATTTAGCCTCACATGTATACCTCCCTGTGAAATTGTCGGGTTTTGGGTAGCTGCTGTACTTGTTGCTGGGGCTGGTGTAGCTCCTATGTGTACACATATCGCTGCTCAGAGTAACAAAGTGACATTAATGGCTTGCTAAGAAGACCTTTTATCCCACAAATAAGTAAACAGATAGCAACTCTACACTGAATTTTAACATTTCCATTCACCAAAAAAATCCCTAAATTCTTGACAAACTGATACTGAGCTGCATTGCTTTATTCACTAATGAAATATGGTTACTTCTTTGACTAACTAATTAGAGCTGCACAGTACAAGACAAAATAGAAGTTGTAATCTGCAGCTCATAATAATGCAAGACATCTCATTAAAATATGTAGCAAGATTAGGAATGAGATTACTCTGTTAAAATGTGGAAGGATTGTCAGACCTGGCTCCGATGTACAGCCTGATCAAGGACTACCAAAATTAAATGGGAACTTTATCCACTAGCCGTTAAAAATAAAAGAATTGTAATATCCTCCAGCTGAGAATGCAGGAAGAGAGACTGCATTGTTTGGCAGTGCATGCATGATAAATTTTTCACCCTAATTCCACTTTTTGACATCCTGGTCTTCCCAATCTGTTTTTAAAGGTAATTGCATTACATTAGTCCCATAAAAATAAATAAATATTAAATATATTTTAAATACAGATATTGATTTTATAGGTTTTAGTACAAATCTATGTGTTTTTAGTTTTCAAGTACCATGTCATATATATAATACATATAAAACAGCATATAATTGCAACTTTAAGTGCTAGTGCAACTAGTATTGAGCAACCCGTTTATTTCTATAGCTGCAAATTATCTGGGCATACACATTATTTTGTTAACCAGGAAAATAATAAAATTTGAAATTTATTATTGGGGGGGTTTTAAGACCAGTATGCCACCCAAGGTTTGCATTCAGTTTGCAGGGATTGTAATGAACAATGCATCAGGGAAAACAAATTTTCCATTCTCTAAAATATGTGTGTTATTGATCAGGAATGCCACTGTAAGTAAGTAATTTTTAAAGGAATTTTTTTGTACCACTGAACAATACTTATCTAGTAATGTTGTACCATGAAGAAAGCATCTGCCTGCTCTATCTTTGCTATAGAACTTTTCAATCCAAGTCTTTTCAATGCTCCATTCATCTTCCCTGTGACAGGGAAAGTATTGACAAGAAGTGACACAGTTACAGTGAATCAGTTAGGAGACCAGCTCCTCATGATAGACTGAGCTCTGCAAGGAAGGGTCACATTAAGTTCTCATTTACACACATGAAACCCCACTAGCTGAAATGAACCTGTGAAACTGCAGGCTAAATATATAGCTATCTACATAAACATCATTATACGCACATGAAGACAAAAGAGCTCCAGGATACAGGTATTTCTAATACATGTTACTAGAACTAGTAGACGTGGTTTAGGTAAAAAATCCCAGATTTTGCCCTTGTTCAGTGTAGTGACATGTCTGTGACACCCTCTCCAATAAGTGCATTGCTGCATGAAGTTTTTTTGCAAGTCTTTTTTTAAAACCTACTGGATGCATCACTGCTTCTTCTTTGCATATCCCTGTAATTCTAGCTTGCCTTTTTTTTTTTTTTTAAACCCAGTGTAACCACCAAGTTAAGAATTTGAGAATGCCCCTTTCTCTCTCACTTGAGTAATTAGATTTTGCTTCTTACTACAGTGAAATATCTACCACATCAGATTCAGTCACTTCCCCCCCCCCCCCCCCTTTTTTGTTTTCACTATCCTATTTTTTTTTGACCACACACTTCCCTCCCAAAGCCCCAGTGTAGTTTCTTTCACCTGACTCCCAGCTATGTTAAGGCTAGCATTAGTGGTACCACTGGCTTGTTCTGTAAATAGCCTGTCTTGACAAATAAGTGAAACTGCAGGTGTCCTCTCCCATCCCCACGAGGATGTGGCCCTCGAGAATGTTGCTCTCTAGACAAAGACACTGAAGAGAGGAAACTCGGCTTGGTTGGGTTGCAGCAAGTCAGTCAGGAAACACACAGTTCCTGAGAAACCTTCATACAGACTATATACACTTTCTAATGCCCGGGAACCAGCCTTAAATTCTTCTGTAAATAAGAATTCTGCAAACCTAGGAGAAAAAGAAAAAAAGGTTTGTTATTATTTTATGTCCCTCTAAGTCTACTTACTTGTTGCTTGAATGCATCATTTTAATAACATTCAATGATTAAAAAAAATAGAATGTTTGTTATTTAATCTTACCTGCAAATTTTAAACTATCTAATTTCCACATGAAACAGATCTAGAAGAGACAAACCTTTTCAATCTGTATGTGTGCTGTGCTTAAGAGCTATAAGCTTTTTCTGATTTCTGTAAGATATCCTTAAACACACTTGTAAATAACTTTTATCTCAATTGTTATTTCAGCAGGATGCAAGCAGTGTTTCACATTGAGGCACCAAATTTTGTAATGCTGAAATAACTACACAAATAAGATGTTCTCATTTCAAAGCAGACGGTTGAAAATAAATCACCCTAATGACTACACTACTTCCCCTCATTAGTCTATGCTGTCAGTAACAAACATTGAATACTGTAAGTTGCAGAAAGACAATTAAAGATAATTGCAGCACTGTGACAATTTTCAGTGGACCATACTTGCTTGCATCAGGACAAAATGGAATTAGCCACACTAGCTAAGCTGAACAGCACAATGTGAAACTGGCTATGGGAATGATAAATTCAAAAACTGTAAAGTAACAGCAAAGCAGTTCTTATACTTATTTTCCATTACTTTCCATGAGTAATAAGGGATAGTGTTAAGTGTTCTGAAAATCATAAAAAATTACATTTTGCTCTCCTCCTGGACACAGGTACACAGCTTGGCTGCTATCTGACCTCATGTCAGAATGAGACCTGGATGCAAACCACTGCTACCTATCTACCCCAGTTCCCTTCAAAGGAGCACAGGCTCTCAGGAAGGGAGGGAGGGAACCCCAGCAGAACCTGATGCTTCTCCTGCAGCAGGCAGCCTGGAGGCAGGACTGCAGGGCTCTCTGCAGAGTGTGCCTGCCCCACAGCTCGTAAGTAGAATTGAACCTGAGGCTTAAACATTCAGGTTACATCTAGGGGTGGTGATCAAAGTCTCTGCACAGCTTTATAAATGTTCCTGAAACTTTGCAGTATTACCCTGAATCCAGAAAGGTTGGAATTCTAACCTTTGTGCCCTGTATATGTATTTTGAGTTTCCAGTGAGCCTATAGAGCAGCAGGAACACATAAGCACTACCAGCCACTCCATGACATATTCCAGGTCCCTTCTTCAACAGGCCTTTCTGCCAAGTTAGCTCTCCACAGCGGATACAAGTGTCCAGATATTGAGGCTTCTTGGAAACCAGGTAAGCTTTGGCAAACAGGTATGCAATGCCTAGGAAAATAGCAGTGAGATTGTCTTTTGTAACATGTAGGCCAAGAGTTTTGTAGAACACATAAGAAAATAAAGATTAATACACTTAAAAACTGCAGTCTCATGCTCTGCACTTGTCAGTGTTAACATATCTATTTGCTACATATGGAGGGGAGAGTATCTGGTATGCTAAAAAGCATATGAGCATATGTTAAGATGTACTTATCCACCCCATGTGACACAACCGTCTTCAGTCTTTTCAATGCATTACTGAATTTCAGGGTTTACTCTAACATTCCCAGTCTTGTAACAATTTAGAACAGTAGTTATATTTTTGCCTTTAATACAGTAAACTCCTAGTGCTATCTTCTATTGGTTTCAAATTTCCATACACCTCACCTGCTTACACTGACACAAGGATGGGCAAGATAATTTCCTACATTGGTAACAGATAATTTTTTATCAAATGAGAAAACGAAACTTTTTTGGTTTTGTTTTTTTTTTTTTTTAAAGTGGAGCCATGCTGCTTTATTCTATTTATAAATAGTTATACATACTAACTTCTGTTTAAAAAAAAAACCCCAAAACAAAGCACCAACCAAACAAACAACCTGGCTTATTTTTAGAGGGGATTTGAATAAATTAACTATAATTTTTAACAGAGCACTGCACAGCTCAGTTCATGGTAACCTTCAAAGAATGCATATGACACATAACCAAATCAAGCGCCTAAGGAAATATTTAGAACAGCTTACTTGTGGTCTGAATATAATATACACTGAAGTAGCTGAAAAGTGTTCTTGTAAGCTACATGTGTATTATTACCCAAAACTAGTGATGGGATACAGGATCCTCTGGGGAAGAATTATACTGATTCATGCATTTGCATGTCTCCAAATGTCCCCTAAAGTAACTTCTTTATGTGCTTTAGGATTTTGTCTCTTTGGGCAAGTCTCACTGCATACATCTCCACTAACAGCTAAACCCAAGTCAAAAGCTACTCTTAAGATGCTGAAACAAAGAGGGCATCTTCCTTGCAGCCTCCATCACTAGGCCAGCCATCCTGCAGAAGTAATTTTTTTCCTTTTAAAAATAAAAAAGGTTTGTTAAACAAAAGCTGGCTTTACTTCATTAGAGTGTGGGAGCAAGAAGTTTGTTCCTTAACCATGACAGCAAAAAGATAAAGCATCAGCAGAAAGCACATTTAGGGGATGTTAATTATAATGTACTTTTTGTAATTTAAATAGAACACCTTTAAAAGTAATGTATCAGTATTCATGGATGTTCTTTAATAAAAGTAAGGTTTTTTGTAACCTTGCAGGTTCATATTACCAAGTCAACATGTCCAGTTAGCAATAAAATTTTGCCTGGGGGTAAAAAGGCTATTTCAATATATAGCATTACTTATCAAAATTGCTAAGGTATAGGATTAGATTCTGAACTGACAGACATAAGCCTTACCTCATGAACCCAAACTAAGGATTGATTCTCTTTATCTCTGAGAAGGATTTTTATATGGGTAACCTTGGGAAAAAAAGGCTTTTTTGCTAGTACAAACTCCCCTTCACATTAAAATACTTTGGTCAAATTTATGCCTTATCCATGTAGTAAGTGCAGCTTAAACTTTGATTCTGATGAGGGGGGAAAAGCTATTCTGAAGGCCTTCCCAGAACTCACTGATGTGTCTATATCAATGTTCTTTTGCATGCTATTTCTGTGCCTACCCCTACGCTGTCTTTTGACTCAGCTGAACCAGTCTTTTGAGATCTGATAATGAAAGGGAGGAAGAGCAGAAAAAACACAGTTCAGGATCACCAGAATTCTTTCAGCTGTGATCACCTATGCTTTTAAGGCAGAAAATACACTTATTTTCCCAGCTGCTTCAGCAATAACTGAAAAACTCTTAACCGGAGAAAAGGCCTGAATATTTTCCCTGCATATCATAAAACATCAAAATTGGTCAAATTTAACCTGGACTATCTTCTATATGGAATCACCTAACATTGAAAAACAATGTGATTAGCATTTGGCTATTCATAGCATCAATGGGAAATGAACCTGGAGCTCCATGACACCAGTGCACAAGCTCATTCTCCCGCTCGATTGTCTCTCCCAGCTCAGGAGGCCAGTTGCTATTCTGTTCTTGGTCCATAAGAAAATCAACGCTCTGCCACACAAGTTCCTGATCTGCTGGCTGCAGGTACTCATAATAGGAAAGTAACATCTGAAGGATTGATGAAAGCCCATGAGCTGCACCTGTAAAGAATAGAAACAGTCAAATTAGAGGGTACGTTTAGATCCTACCTCCACCTCACAGCAACTTTCCCTTGGGACTGATATCCTTGTCAAGTGCATGGCTCTTTCATCTTCTTTATGCCTATTACAGTAGTGCTTGGAATAAAAGCTTTCTAAGTGCAAGACACTTTGTTACTCCTTTCATTTCCAGTTTCCCTACCTATGCAAAAATAGGTACGAATTTTTTCTGCTCTCACTCTCATATTTAAAAAAGAGATTCAGAGCAGCCCTGTGGAGAAGGACTTGGGGGTGCTGGTCGAAGAGAAAATGAACATTAGCAGGCAGTGTGCACTTGCAGCTCAGAAAGCCAACCATATCCTGGCCTGTATCAAAAGGAGCGTGACCAGCAGGTCGAAGGAGGTGATCCTGCCCCTCTACTCTGCTCTTGTGAGACCTCACTTGGAGTATTGTGTACAGTTCTGGTGTCCTCAACATAAAAAGGACATGGAACTGTTGGAACAAGTCCAGAGGAGGGCCACGAGGATGATCAGGGGGCTGGAGCACCTCCCGTATGAAGACAGGCTGAGAAAGTTGAGGCTGTTCAGCCTGGAGAAGGCTGCGTGGAGACCTCCTAGCAGCCTTCCAGTATCTGAAAGCAGCCTATAGGGATGCTGGGGAGGGACTCTTCATCAGGGACTGTAGTGACAGGACAAGGGGTAACGGGTTAAAACTTAAACAGGGGAAGTTTAGATTGGATATAAGGAGGAAATTCTTTCCTGTTAGGGTGGTGAGGCACTGGAATGGGTTGCCCAGGGAGGTCGTGAATGCTCCATCCCTGGCAGCGTTCAAGGCCAGGTTGGATGAAGCCTTGGGTGAGATGGTTTAGTGTGAGGTGTCCCTGCCCATGGCAGGGGGGCTGGAACTAGATGATCTTAATGTCCTTTCCAACCCTAACTATTCTATGATTCTATATGACTGAAACTCCATGCGCAAAGATAAATTGAACCTAAACTGAATACTATTTCAAGATACTATTCTTCTTGACAAACTACTGAATCTAGACCATTATTTTGAAGTCTTTGTTGAACCCAAATTGACACTGGACCGTAAATGGTATTCCCAGTTACTGACAGACAGTATCAGTCAGCCAAAACATAAATTTCAGTGCAAGAATTGTCTGCCAGGTCTGTGGAGCAGCACCACTCATTGACTTCTGCCCTACCAGAGAACTAAGATCTCAAATCAATCTGACACTTTCTGCAGTGGGATATTGTGCCTTGAGGACCCCACTAGGGATCTGCTCAGTGATCTTTCACCACTGCTTCAGATGAGCTCCAACTAAGCTGCTTGGGATGGGTAGGAGCTGATCATAACCTTGAGTTGCACTACTACAGCCAAAAATGCTCTGCAAGTACCCGCTTGGCAACAAGAGCTTACAAACAACATCACAGAATCATACCCTGAAAGCTCTCTCTGGTAACCTTCTGCACACAGGCATGGTCACCACACCTCTCACTGCCTCCGTCCGACAAGGGCATATTTACCCTTAAAATAAGCTGCTGCCTGCTGCTCCCCTGGTGTGGCACAGGTATCCCAGCCTTCTCCAGTGCTAGCCAGCATCAGTACTTCCTTCCAGCTCCTTAGTCCCAGTTAGCAGTTTTAGGAGTTTAGATGGCCCCAAATCCGGAAAAATCCCATACTGGATGTTTGACGTATTTCTGAAACGTCGACTGGCTCAGCATCTATGCACAGCATCAGTTTCAAAGTACACTGTGTGTTTTACTCACCAAGGTACTCTGTTCCATAGTATGAATACATGAGTGGGAATGGTTTCCGCTTCTTCACTGCATACTGCTTTCCCGATTCTAGTATGGCCAGGCAAATTGATTTTATTTGTGCTGGGGTCAGCACCTAAACAGAAACATCAAACCAAACATCAAGTCCATTATAATAATTTTATTTTTAGACATTTTTTAGGACTCTGCTTTTTTGCTGGTTCACAAGACAAGGTACTGCCTTTAATCTTATAAGCATGCCATAATGTGTATCATTATTAAGAGTTTCTTACCTTAAACAGTAAATTTACATGATGTTTCTTAAAAATAGAGTTTCATCCTGTCTCAGGAAAGTGAATGCCACACCTTTAGCTGTACAGAGGAGGTGAAAAGAGGCTCACTAAGAGCTCCTGCCTTGCCTTCCCAGAGATCCATCAGTCTGATGGAAGCTGGCAACAAGCAGCAGGCAAGCTACAGAACAACAATCTCCAGAGTGGAGGAAGAGACATTAGGAGAAGATAGTGGAAAAGAGACCTAGAGAAGTAACTGTTACAGGCATATAGGAACAGATTTTTCTGCAGACAGAAAAGAGAATGCAAGGAAGAGGGTACTAAATTTTACTGAAAATCACGACTACCTATGTGGGTTTAGAAACATCTTAGTAGAACAATCAGGCCTTCTTATTTCAAGAAAATGCTAAGAAAAATGAAGTGCAAGACAGGTTTCTATGAAGGCAGGCTAACTAGGTTTCTAAGACTTTATTATCATGAACAGGTCAACACGGACTTTAAGTCATTTCTTAGGACTTTAATGCAGTCCTAAGAAATGACTAATGCCTTACTCTTAGTGGTGTCAAATGTAAGTAAGACTTGCAAATAGTATATTTCACCAGAAAAAAACTTTTCCAAGTTACTGACCTAAAGAATTCAGACAGGAATTGGTTTTACACGGTTTAATTACATCTTTAATTATATGCAATTCACTACAGTCACTGGCAATTTCCTCTGTGTCAACCACATCTGAACATTACTGACCAATACCTAGGTCATTTAAATCATTTAGCTGAAGTAGGGTTTTGGCTTTAGGCGAAAGCCTGTACGGCAGCTGTACTTTGCAAAAATATATTTCAACTTTTGAAAAGAGAACTGAGAAAGGAAAAAAGCAAAATGAAGCAGAAGAAAAAAAAATATGTAGAAATAGGCTTGACAAGATAAATAGTAATCCTAAAACTAACTGGAATATCAAGGTAATGTATTTAAAATGTTTCTGAAAACATTTGGTTTTGCTATAATTTGTGTTATAATAAGATTTGCAATTACTTCTTCAAGTTTAAATGATTCTGTTAGCATTAAGTATGGAGGCAACATCTGTTATAAACCATATTGTCTCATTTGGCATGTAAAAGATGCTATGGATAATTAGTATCAGAACTTGACTGAAAACTAATGGCTGAAAAATCTTGTCTATCTTACTTTGCTCCCTGTTAACAAGACATTTTATTACAGCTGCTTCAAATGCCTATGATATTTGTATAACCTGGAGAACAGCCTACTTCTGATCTTGATTACTGATCTTTAATGTTACTGCAGTAGAAGTAAATAAGCCTTTAACATCTGGAGACTTCACTCATTTCCAGTAATTTTTAAATGAATATTTTCAGCTTCAATGAATTTAAAGAAAGAATTTAATTCCTAAGCAAATGAGAGCAGAGACACAATGAGAGGCGGTGCATTCTCTCCAGAGCTCTTATTCTACCACCTTGCAGCCTAGAACCTAATCCTGCAAATTCTGTACTTTGTAAAAGGTTTAGTAAGGTAACCCTTTGAAAATAAATGTGAATGATAAGATCTCCTAGCTGTAATTCTGGAAGGCAAAGGCACACTGTTTAGAAAAATCTTAGTCACTTCAGTTACTTAAAAAATGAACTGTCTTTCAATACCGTGTTTTGTGAAGCTTATTTTTATGTTCAGGGCATTTAGTTTTTAAATTCAGTTAATGGCTATTTTAAAATGCTGATTGTGTATTTTAAATGGATTTAAACTTCTACTCAAATCCAGCCTTGTACAATAAAGAAGTATCAGCTACCAAGAAATTAATTGTTCACCATTTTTTAATATAAAGTAAGTGTAAAGAGTCAAACACTTAATTGCTATGATTACTCAAGTACATATATAGTATACCTTTCTGGCTGGCATAATGAAATATGCTTACAAATATCACCTTTTTTTCAGAATGCAAAGAAAGCCCACATGCTAAGCCAGACAAAAACTGATATTTAAAATCATTATTAGAATGGATGATAGAAACAAACCTACTCTGACCCACTTCCACATTACCAAAGAAAATGGAAAAGAAAGTAACCTGTGTATCTTGAAAGCAACTTTCTTCCTGGCCACTTGGATGGACCTGAATGCTTAAGGCAGGTAGGAGATGTGTCCTAACTAATAACTTAATGCAAAAATTTTTGTGCTGACTCCAGCTATCTCTTGCCAACTGCTTCAATCCACAGTCACTGTAGGGCTGCTGCCTGTCTTCTACAAAAATATGGAGCATTTGTATTTGCTTCTTATACTAGGAAATGGTTGTCTGGAACAGAAACCCTCACTTACTGTCATTATTAGCGGCCTCCCAAAGGTTGATTGATCAGAAATCATACTTAAGATCCCCACTGGCTTGCTACACTGTATTTCAACCAATTCTGTGTTAAAATCCCCTCCGATTTTTCACCTTGCCAAGAAATAACATCTCTGGCTAGTTTCTGTATGCTACCTCAGAATATCTTTAAGAAAGCAGCTAAAAGCTTATAGAATCATAGAATAGTTAGGGTTGGAAAGGACCTTAAGATCATGTAGTTCCAACCCCTCTGCCATGGGCAGGGACACCTTATGCTAAATCATATCACCCAAGGCCTCGTCCAACCTGGTCTTGAACACTGCCAGGGATGGAGCATTCACAACCTCCCTGGGCAACCCATTCCAGTGCCTCACCACCCTAACAGGAAGGAATTTCCTTCTTATATCCAATCTAAACTTCCCCTGTTCAAGTTTAAACCCGTTACCCCTTGTCCTGTCACTGCAGTCTCTAATGAAGAGTCCCTCTCCAGCATCCCTATAGGTCCCCTTCAGATACTGGAAGGCTGCTATGAGGTCTCCACGCAGCCTTCTCCAGGCTGAACAGCCCCAACTTCCTCAGCCTGTCTTCATACGAGAGGTGCTCCAGTCCCCTGATCATCCTCGTGGCCCTTCTCTGGACTTGTTCCAACAGTTCCATGTCCTTTTCATGTTGAGGACACCAGAACTGCACACAATACTCCAGGTGAGGTCTCACAAGAGCAGAGTAGAGGGGCAGGATCACCTCCTTCGACCTGCTGGTCACGCTCCTTTTGATGCAGCCCAGGATACGGTTGGCTTTCTGGGCTGCAAGCGCACACTGCCAGCTCATGTTCAAAACCATGCCCAAACCAACAAGAATAGAATACATTAATCATAACTACAGCTGGTTTGACAAAGTTCATTTTCATTTTACTGTAGTAGCAATGCCTCTTTGCACCTGTGAATTATTGAAACAATATGTTTAATTAGGGACAGCAAAGAAACAGAGTGATCATGCCAAAGGCTTTAAAAGGATCACAAATTGGTATCACATCGTCTAGTGAACACTGTCAGATGTTTTGATGAAGGATAAAGCCAAAATGAGAATATGCTACCCAGAAATAATTTCATGCTTGAGATAGCTATATATATATATATACTTTTTTTTTTGAAATTTCTTGAACATCATTTAATATGAGCTGGCTACACAGTAGGTAAAATTATTCTTTATCATGTCAGTACTTGGCTAAGACTACTAAGAGATATAGTGCTGATGGTTTAATATTTCAGCTCTTTTTGTATTTTAAAGACACCACAACCTGTCCTATAGCATTAGAAGTGTTCATTAGTCTCCTTACTAGATCAAGGGTTGCAATGCGTGCATTCCTCATTTCCCCTGCAATTTCCGCATCAGTTCAGCAGCACTTTAATGCTTAGTATTTGTACTACTGCCTGTGCCTAGAAGCCCTACTTACAGTTAAAAAGCCACTGTGTTTCCAAAGTCTCTCCATTTTTCTCTTGTGCTACTGCAGTCAATACGCCTTCTCTCATTAAGGCACTCCACAAATCTGTGAGTTATTTAAGGCAGGTACTTTATTCAGTAAATCCCTGTAAAAAGTCAGGAAAGAAGTGCCATGTCTACAGCAATCACAGAACATCACCCTTTGTTGTTAGCAGTCTTACTCAACCTTTAGATTGTTAGAAGTAAATAATTTCACATCTCCTTTTGATGTCCTGAGATCTTGTAATATATCGGTTATGACAGTGCTAGGCCCTAGATACGTTTTTAGAACTTTAGACAGAAATCTTGACCCTGAGTACTACACTGAAAGGAGCAGGACAAGCTCTTCTTTGCTGTCAGTTACCATAAAATTGTCAGCACTTCATCATTCCTCTGAATGTCTGCTACAAGCCCCTTGGCTTATAATTTGCCTTAGGAAAACCACTGCTACATAGAACTACATATTGTACTGAGTATATTTGAGGACTGTAAGCTCTTAATTCTTTTAGAAGATTTGTATGTATTTTCTTAGAGCTCTTTCCTGTATGTAACAGAAGGCATTACTGAATGCCACGTATCATTATCTTTTTATTGATGCATCAGTACTTTAACATTATTGGGGGAAAAAACTCCCTCTGTGCATGGGGAAAAAAAAAAAGTATCTAACAAACACATAAAACCTCTCTGCCACACTTCAAAAAAGCCATTTACATGAATTTGACCATACACTTTCTCTGATGCTGCAGAAAGTGTCAAAGTAAGCTGACAAAGTTGGTCAGTCTACAATAACCTAACAGCAGCTTTGCCATTAGTCTCCTATGCTGGAAGCCCAGCAGAGGGAGCTTGTGTATTAGTTATAATACTCAAAAGTGCTGTAAGAAAAGATACACAATTCTGTGTTCAGCACGACAGCTGACTCAAGCAAAGATGCTGGAGCCAACTTGGTAATTCAGTGACACCTTACTGCACTGAGTGATACTTAAAGTTCACTCCTTAAACTTGATTTTTTTTTTTTTTTCTACCAAAGATGGGACTGAAATTGTTCAGGGACTTTTCTGTGCAGTCATGGACAGGTTTTTTTCCCTTTCAGGTGATGCTAACGCTTGAAGCCATGGAAGACTAGCATGTACAGAGGGTTCTGCCTCCCCGTAGACTTATTCCAGTTTGATCGATGTACCTCTCCTGCAGCACACTGGGAAAACCAACTCCATGTGCACAGCTGTCTGCTTTCCTTACAAGCAGTGCTACGTTCACCCTTCTTTTAAAAAGTAAAAAATAAATATTTTTCTTAAATCTCCTGAAAAGTTTGTTCAAGGAATCAGATTAGTTCCTGGAGTACTACTGACATTGTTGCTAATTCAGTATGTTCCGTGTTGTAACAGCACTATTAATAGTACTTTCTAGAGAGCATACTTTTCCAAATTTCCCATATTAACACAACTACATGGCAATGTGTGTAGACTCAGCACAACTACTAATATGATTGTGCCAGTTCACTGGAAAATGGTACCGGACTGCAATCTTGAGTAAAACAGATTTCCCTATACATCCCATTGTTATTGCTTCTTTTTAACATGTAAATTTGGGGGGTTTTGAGGCTTGCTCTTTCTTTGCCTCAGCAACATGGAAACAGCAATGTCAGTCCTGTCCTGTTACTGGTAAAGAAGACAATACAGCACTTTTTTTATTGCTAAGAGAGAACAAAATTTCCACAGGTCTCACTTGCCAGGACTGTGTAGCATTAAATCCATCAAATTCTGCTGTTAAACCTGTCCTTGAGAAGGAGAAAATTTCAAACACGACTGCAAATTAAGTGTAACAGAAATGGATGCAGCACAACTGTTACTGTAGCTAGGAGGCTGCCTGAGAACAGCTGGTGCTGTTACACAGTTGGTCAAACACAATGAGCATCTCCATTCTGTCTCAAACACTGGAGAGTTTGAAGAAAAAACAGCAATTGGCCTTTCTTCAAGTCCCCCATTCTGGGCCAATGAAGAGAGAGGAAAAACATTAGGTTCTCCAGTTACACCCAGGCCCCAACATCTTTTCAGTTGCACTGGGTTTGATTGGATACAGATACCCAGTTCTAATATAGTGGCTGTCCTAGGTCTTAGGAAGGAAACAAGAGGTCCCCATCACACTCTTTACCTGAAGAAAGTAAGGAAGCACAACCCCTTGCTCTCTGCTGCTAGAAAACTGAAGCAGGAAGAATGTCAAGGAACAGATCTAAGAGCAGAGCAGTTCAGATAACCAACATGACTGAAGAGGTATCAGCCTGCCTATTGAGAGCTTAGGTGCTGGTCAACCTCAAAGGCAGCAGGGAATCCCTCAGGAGGATGAGTCCCATCACAGAAGAATTGAGGTACCCAGGGATGCATTCCTGTGTTACGCTTTCAAATGGCAGCTGTCTGCACCCCAGCTGCATGTTTTCTTCTGCCTATTAGAGTTAGGGTTACCGCAGAAAGCCAACAATTTAATTTCAAACATCTCTCCCTAGAATTGCACCCAAATTCAAGAGCATGAATTGAAAAACATGTTTAAAAATAGCAAAAATATAACACTTGCAAATTAACTGAGAAACAAACCCAACACTGCTTGGAGAGGCTTTTTTCTACATTACAGAATTCAACTCCAGCTTTTTTCAACAAATGAGAAAGATTCTTCTTTCCTTTATTATTATTATTATTATTATTATTATTATTATTATTATTCTTCACCGGCTGTATAATGCATGGCTGAGCCATTCTGGGGGCACAGAGCCTGGGAAGTGGCCAAAATGGATGCATCAGTGATCAACTTTCTGCAATCCAAATCCCTGTTTGAAGCTCCTGTGTGTCAAACCACGCATACACCAGACATTGGAGCAGTTTATGACAGCTGAAAATGAGTCAGAGATTAGTGCTGCATGGATACTGTTTTTCTTCCATCTACACTCCCCACACAAGTAGGTGGAAGATTATTCATGTAAAAACTTCATCAGTGGGAAATCCTTCAACTCTGTTTAGTCTCAGTCAGAAAGTACATCAGTACAAAAATGCTGTCGTTAGCTTATGCCAAAACTGCAGTGCAGAGCTGTCATCTCCTGGTGGGAGATCTATCCTTCTGCACTCCAAATACATGTCCCTGACAATTCTGCATTACAATGATAAACATCTTCCAAGCTGAACACCTTGCACTCTTGTTTGGGTAACAGGCAACCCAGTGTGTTGTATCTGTACTACCCCAGGATCCCATTCCATTTTTTACACTGGTAAGCATGGAACATCTGCTCTGCCCCTGTGTTCTGGATCAGCTCACTTCCCCTTAACAGCAGGTCTGCTGGTTCACTGGAACTGAATTCATGTTCTCATCTGTTCCACAGACATATCTGGTTGTAGCAAAGCTGCCCTGTTGTTATAACCAGTTTATGTATGCAACTAATGGAGAGTCATAAGAAGTATTATCCATTCTTTCAGCTCCTGAGCAGCAGGAATCAGGGTTTATGAAACAGACTTTGCACAATATAAAAACTATGTAACAAGGTGAGTCTCCCCATACTCTGCAGTAGCCATGTCTTTAGTCTGAACTCAAAAAGTCATGCAAGTCCCCTTCAATTGGGCACCACCATTTGCTACCAGGAACTTAGGCAGACTGCTCCTTGGAAAAATGCATTTACTAGTGTTTGTATGTGTCTGCAGGTCAACATGAAATGGTCAGAACTTGATCTTGAGTCAGTCAGTAAAGGCTAATACTTTTCACAGGGAGGCTTATCTAGGCTTAGAGTTCTACAAATGCAAATGGCAACTGTATATAGCAACTGAACAAAGTTGATAACCCATGTTTTAAGATGTCCTGAAGATCTTAGAAAGAACTGGGCACTTCTATTCCTTCATTCCTTTACTTCCTCTAGAAACAAGAACATTCAGCATCTGACAGGGCACTGATCTAATAAATTGTAATGTGTTTACTTCTGGACCTCTTAAGATTATGAATTACATTGCTGCCAAGTTCATGAAGACATAGTTAATTTTGAAGGTGTCATTAAACACAGAAGTGAAATCAGGCACTGAAATACACTGTTGCAAGGGGTAAGAGGAAATGAAGACATCACTGGTTCATCTCCAAAATTTAAGCTCTGAGAAACTTAGTCTAGTTTTGTATGGAAAAATGTTAATACCTGTAAAGTTTCTTTAAACTGATGTTTAGTTAAGAAAGACAAAGAGACAAGAGCACCATGTATCACTTCATGCACCTGAGTTAACGAAACTTCACTGCTGTAGTGCTCTCTCCCGGTAGAGACTATGCTGGCTAAATACCTCCATTATTCCTTGTCTGGGCTGGGAAGGACCAGCTGGGTGCTACACTGCAAAAGGTACCACAAAACAGAGATGGGTTGGTGTAACTGACCCTAGGAGAGAGGGAAAAGGGGTAAAGAGAGGAGAAGAGAGATAAAAGAGTGAAATTGTTCCTGGGCCCTGTAGGCCGTGTTAACTAGCTGCGTCTGAAGAGGATGGTCTACATTTCAGTGGTCTACATAATGGTCTACTACTTCAGTGTAGTGCTGACCTAGGGAAAACAGCAGGCTGCATGTAGCACATTTGGAGGAGTAAATGTTTTTCTGCCCACCCTTCTGCACAGAACCTGTATGGTCACAAAACTTTTTATCTCTTTCCAGCTTGTCAATACAGTTTTCATGTTGCAATTGTATATAACTGTAAAGCTTCCATTGTTTAAACAACAGTAATTATCTTGTTCATTTGAGATCACAAAAAAAGATGAATAGTTTTATTACACTGAAAGCAACTATGCAATACAGTAAATAAGAAGTATAGGATAGGGATAGAGAAAGATTGATTTCTAGTTCCTTGAGAATATCTCTAAAGATGTTCATAGTTCAGTTCATCTTAAGTGATAACCATCATCTTAATTACTCAGAATGATGGAAAAGGAAAAGAGCCAGTTCAGTTTCATGCAGTATTTACTTTTTTTAATTTGTTGATGTCATTTTACCTATTAGATCATCCATATGGCTCTTAATGTCAAAGTCCTCGCTGAACTGAATGGGTCCTAAACTTGGAGGGATGTTACTCCTGGCAAATGTTAAATAAGAAATGCTGAAAATTTTACCAGTTGGCATAGTATCTAACATAGATCTAAAAATAATTCAATGATCCCCAGAAATGGAGCCTAATAATTCACTTAGTAAATAGGGTTTCTATGGCACGTAATTATTCATATAAATTCTTGTTCGTCGATGTCTTACCAATAACACCATGTGGCTGGCTCGCAGTTGAGGCCAATAATGATTTTGTCTGAGGTAGCCTTTAAAGATTGAGAACACAGGAGTAAGGCCTTCTTGCTGACCTTGCTTGCAGACGCAGAGTAGAAAAACCTAAGAGCTGAGCAAACATCTAATTCTCCAAGGATTGATCCTACTTGCACTTTAGTCAGTTTGGAGGGAAGTGACAAGCAGATGCATTCTCATTCATTGCTCTACACCAATGTGGAATGCATGACTTACATATAATAAAAACATTTGGGTTCTTTCATAATTTTTTTACAATTCAAGGCTGTGTATGCTCTATGCCTGTACTGAATAGAACTGCATGTATAAGCAGTAGTTCTCCCTGTAACCCCTCAAAGAATTTTGCTTCATGTCAACAAATATTCTCAAGGAGATTGTTTCCTATGATGAGCTGGGCAATACACTGTCTTCCACATCTAAATGAAAAAGGATTAATAATTTCAGTTGAGGTGCGAGACACCACTCCCCTGAAGCTAGAATTCCAAGTAATGGTTTATATTTTGTGTTGAGGCAGAGCTTTACACTCTTCCTGTAAAGTTTCTTTCCTACTGCAAATACGTTGTTTGAAGGGCTAAAAACCTAGCAATAAAATGAAAGACCGCAGTTTATACCTCCACCATCAAATTGTACTGAACAGAACTATCTGATCTCAGTCGATATTCGGTTTAACAGGAATACATTTGCCTTTCAAGCTGTTATGCTAGGTCATGGTTCACAGATGCAGCTGTGATTGTAGGACATGGGTCAAATTTCCACTGTTTTCCAGGATGATATTTTTTTCTGTCAGGACTACAGGACTGAGCAGGTCTCCAGGTATGTTCTCTCATCATCAAAATAAAACAAATCAACCAACCACAATAACATACAAAAAATCAAGCAGAAACAGGTGGTGTAGAAACAAGTAAGACATTCTCCTGAGAAATGAAGATAAAAAGACTACTACATTTATTTTCTGGACAGGAGGTAATTAACCACAGAAAGTTGTTTTACCTTGTTATGTAAGAACAAAACGATAGCTTATGAAAAATAGCAAGCTTAAAGACAAAAATCTCTGCTCACCCAAGACTCAAGTAAGCTAGGGAATTTATTTCTGCACAATGAGTCCACTCTCACTGTGGAATTCTAACAAACCAATTGAACCTCTCTATAAATAAGATGACATTTATTTTCTTTTTAAGATTTTAGGTTAACTGCCAGAAGTGCCCCAACACTCCAACTAAATTAAATTACAATTCTTCAGAGCCTGTGATCTTTAAATAAATATTATCACCTTCCAACTTATCAAAACTCACAACTGAAGAACATTTATTCCTGACAGATGTTGCAAGTCCAAGCCATCCAACCAGCTCCCAGAACTCAGCCCATCAATTCTGGAAGAAAGATAAGCCCTTGTGCTTCAGAGCATAAAGCCATTCCCTTAAAAATGCAGGTTAGGCAAGCTACAGACAGCCCATTTCAAAACTGCCTTCCACAGACATTTGTGCAGCTACTTTGAGTCATCTAGTACTGGTACAAGATATTAAACCAGATGGAGTATCAGAAACAAATCCTGAAGAAGAAAAATTTGTTTGTATACTGCTGTCTCCTGACTGCAAGCAAATGCAAGCAGTCAACTGGTTGGACAAATCTGAAAA